ATGATTTGGTGAGCCATCTCGCCTAAAAAAAAAAGAGTGAGCCGAACGGCTCTTATTTGTTCTAGAAATCGAACGGCTGTGGTTTCGTGAGACAGCGACAACTAATAACTGTGACACTCTCTTGCCTGCGCACAACATCTCTCCTTGTACCTAAACTCTCGCCTCTGTGAAACCATCTCTCTCTACCTAAACTCTGGCATCCCTCTCTCTCCCCCGTGAGCCTGCTCCCACCCTCTCCAATCCCATGAGCCTCCTCACATTGTCTCTCTCTCCAGTGAGCCTCCTCGTCTCTCTCTATTGTGAGCCTTATCATCTCTGTGTTTCATCTCTGCATATTATTAATCCGCCAACTCCTAAATCTATGGACTTTTACGATTTTACATCAAAATGGATTATGCAAATCGTACAAAATTGCATCTCGGACGTGGCAGTTTGGAGATCATTCACAGGTGCAGTAATTTTTTATTTGAATATTGGGGATTTAGGTTTACATTTTTGTGGATTTAATTATGTCTTTGTCTTGTACATTTACAATGGAATTTTTACCCATATTTCTTCACCATTGTCACTCTGCAAACGATTCCAATATTTCTTTTGCTTTGCCATCACCATTGTCACTCTATAAAATCTCCATCTTGATTTGTTTTCTCTATCTCTCGCATCTTTGTTGAATCCAAATTTTCCTTCTTGATTTGTTTTCTCTATCTCTCGCATCTTTGTTGAATCCAAATTTTTATAAGAAGAGGCTCAAATCTGTGGTAAAAACAACTCCAAATACCAAAGTAATATGGTTATGAATTTAGATTTTCATTTTATCGATATTGTTCTTATTTCCTTTATGTGACAATTTGGGGAAAGTGTTTATTTTCTTTGCCTGCATATTTTAATGTTTGGTTCTGTGAAGTCCTAATTTAGAGATTTTTTTTTTTTTTTAAATTGTTGAATGGCATCCATCGATGTTGCTATGTTAAGTGATTGATTTTTTGGTTTAAAATTGTCGAGTGGCATCCATTGATGCTGCTCTGTTAAGTGATTGATTTTTTTTCATAAGGTTTGTTAATGGTTCAAACAGGGTGGAATTCATGTTGCTCTGTGAAGTCATAATTTGGAGAAATATTTTACCGAGATCGTCGAATGGCATCCATTGATGTTGCTCCGTTAAGTGATTGATTTTTTTTCATTAGGTTTGTTTACTTTCAATCATCAAGCATTTTGGTTTGTTAATGGTTCAAACATGGTGGAATTCATGTTGCTCCGTGAAGTCATAATTTTAAAATATTTTACTGAAATTGTCGAATAGCATCCATTGATGTTGCTCTGTTAAGTGATTGATTTTTTTTCATTAGGTTTGTTTATTTTCAATCATCAAGCATTTTGGTTTGTTATTGCTTCAAAAATGGTGGAGTTGATGTTGCTCTGTAAAGTCCTAATTTGGAGATTTTTTGGTTTAAAATTGTCGAGTGGCATCCATTGATGTTGCTCTATTAAGTGATTGATTTTTTTTTTATTAGGTTTGCTTACTTTCAACCATCAAGCATTTTGGTTTGTGAATTGTTCAAACAGGGTGGAATTCATGTTGCTCCGTGAAGTCATAATTTTGAAAAATATTTTACTGAAATTGTCGAATGGCATCCATTGATGTTGCTCTGTTAAGTGATTGATTTTTTTTCATTAGGTTTGTGTACTTTCAATCATCAAGCATTTTGGTTTGTTAATGGTTCAAACATGGTGGAATTGATGTTGCTCTGTGAAGTGTTTTGGGCCTCATCATAGAGGTGGTAATGGTTGTTATTGCTGTTGTGGTTATTGTTAAAATTATTATTGACATATTTGCAATGACTGTTATGATGTGCTTGAAATACGTAATTATTTAGTCATTTATAGTGTGGTACTGATACAATTATTGTAGGCTCTAACAATGTCATCTTATTCTACAAGTAATCGAGGATATACAACTCGACGATGCCCAAAGTGCAGTATAGATTGTGCTAAGAAACCTAAAGCAAGCCAAAATAACCCGAACAAGATGTACTATAAATGCTCTATATGTGGGTTCTTCCAATTGTGTGATGAATATAATACCGTCGTGTCAATTTAAGACGATGCAATACACGACAGTGGAGTCCAATGAAAGAATTAGAAAAACGTGTCATGCTCAATCAAGAAACAAGTGTTGGCAATGATACGATACTCATTGCCATAGAGCGCATGCATCAATTCTTACTCGATGCCTTTGGGTGTTTGCAACAATTTTTGTATTTCTTGTGCATAATAAATGTGTGCTTGCTTGCACTCATCTTTTTTATTTTTATAGTCGATTAGAAAGATGTGATACTTTCTGACTTGGAATTTGCTTTTTTACAGGGTTGCCTTTTACTAATGTAATTATTCCTATAGTAGAATTAATTTATTCTTCTTTTATGGAAAATGTTGTAGTTGAAAGTAACAAAAGGGTTCTTTTGGTAATATAAACATATATTATTTGTCATGCAATTCCAATTCGAGGATATTATCTCGAGGACATTATGTATTGATTTTTTATTGTGCGTTGATAGCGAGCCAGAGTTCAAGCATCTATAATTTATTTAAATGGGTGGGTTGATCATTTGAAGTATGGCCAGTGCGATTGTGCCATTTATTGAGGGCTATAAAAAAATTGTGCTATAAAAGCTGAAATTCAGCCATGTGAAAGCAGGCCATACTTTCTTACTGTTGCAAGGGAGATGTCTTTTTGAGTCATTGCTCTTCAATGTCTTTTTAGTCATTGCTATTCAAAATTGTGTTGTAAATTTTCTATATAGTCTGATATACTTCAGCCTTCATTGAGACACTTCTATACTTATGGTGGTCATTGAGGGCTTCATTGAGACGCTTCATGAAGGGCTTCATTGAGATGCTTCTATTTCATCGAGGGCTTCATTAAGGGCTTCATTGAGACGCTTCTATTTCATTGAGGGCTCTATTTCATTGAGATCTTCATTGAGGGCTTCTTTATTAAGGGCTTCTTTTCATTGAGGGCTTCTATTTCATTGAGATCTTCATTGAGGGCTTCTATTTCATTGAGGGCTTCATTGAGATGCTACTATTTCATTGAACGCTTCATTGAGGGCTTCTATTTTATTGAGATGCTTCTATTTTCATTATAGTGCAAGCTCATGCTGGTGCAATGAATTACAGGGAGTGACATATGGACAGTAGATTTAAAATAGATATTGTCATGTGGCCGCTTATTTGACTTAGAGCTGGTCCAGAGTGTTAATTTGAGAATTGAAAACAAATCGAGAAATGTACATCCCTTTAGCAGGAATTTTTGCAAAATTACAATAATAAAAATGCGAGTAACATGCTAGGTGCTCACATGTTAAAAGAATGCCCCTGGTAAAAGAATGCCTATGTGAATAACACACTAGGTACCCACATGTTAAAAGAATGCCTCCGTGAAAAACCTATAGTAAATCCCAAACCTAATTGGGCACTGTTGCCATTTTTTTGGTTTTTCAAGCCATATATCATACAAAACCTATTATAAATTCCAAACCCAATTGAGCATATTTTTGGTTTTTCAAGCCAAATATCATACAAAACCTGTCACAAATTCCAAACCCAATTGGGCACTTCTGCCATATTTTTGGTTTTTCAAGCCATATATCATACAAAACCTGTCATAAATTCCAAACCCAATCAGGCACTATCCCAAGATAACGAGACAACCCCAAGATAACAAATTAATACAAACAATGGACACAGCACAAAAAGTAAAAGATACATGGTCCCATAAGAGAAAAACATGTCAAATGGCAAAGTTCGAAGACATCCATAAAAAGTAAAAGATACATGGTCCCATAAGAGAAAAACATGACAAATGACTCCAAAAGGAACACCCTCCAAAAGGCGTAATATTAAGTTTACAAATAATTAACCATGAAACAAGATAAATTCATCGACCGAAGGCAGTGCAGCCATTGTTTTCTGACTTGGAAACATCAAGTAAAATGTGAAGTCCTCCATCAATCGGTGTCTGCAACTGTATGACCATCAGTAAGTAATACAACCACGGATAGAAGTACCACAATGCTTAAATAAGGTAAATTTATGAATAAACTACACAATAAGAAATATTATTTACCTGTCAACTTTTGATTCAAAAGAACAGCACCCGTTGCATCCACATAAGCATAAGAAATAATTTTTACCTACATTGTCAACAACCACATAAGCATAAGAAATAATTTTTACCTACATTGTCAACAACCACACAAGCATTAGAATTTCAATGCAAACAAATTTCTTACCATGCAAATTCAACGCAAAAAATATTATTTTACTGAATATAATGCAAATCTCTAAAGATTATTACCATTACTCAGCATGTTCCACATGCTCGCATGACCCATCCGTGCATCTAATATTTACATTTAACCTAAATGAAGAAAACCCATTTCAAATATTTATATTTAAAGAATTCATATTAAAATCACATAGAGTACGAGAAATGGAGCAATAGTTCATTCATACTTTGAACGTGCGAGAGATGGACAATTCCTTTTGTCATGTCCACTCCCTTTGCAAACTGCGCACTTTCGGGTAACTTCTTTCACTCTTGCTTTCGCTTTCTCTGCCTCTTATCTCAACTCGAGATACATATCTATCATTGGTAGGTCTCCCCTTTGTTCGTGCCTGAGGGGTTCAAGGATGTTATAGCATGCATGTCCCTCAACCTCAGCTCCGTTGTGACCGTCGGCAATCATATTCTCATTATGACTGCTGCAAGGCGTCTTAAAAGCACCATCTGGTAATACCACACCCCCAATCTTGGCCTTAACCTTTGAAAGTGTACTTAATAGTTCAAACATTATAAATGCATGGAGTTCTACACTTTCTGAAGCATGCTCTGCTAGTTCTCTAGTGACTTGACAAACCTCATTAAAACGAATTGAACGGGGTAGATCAGAGGTACCTTGCATTTGTTTCCCATTGGCATCAAGTACAACACCTATCATCACATCTTTTGTCCACCTCTTCATTATGTAATGCGATGGGATTTCAAAAATATTATTCACCATCAAGACCCTAATCCCATGTCTACAAATAATGCCCAGCCTCTCATACATGTGGCAAGTACAAACAAAAGTTTGATTGTGACGATTGAACTCTACATTGCAGGCCCTTGTTCCACTTTCACATTTTGATACCTTAATATTGCAACTGTCATTGTCTTCAATAATTTCACTAATGTAATTGATGCCTCCTGCAACTTCTTCTCCAAATGACTTCATAACCTTGTGTGTATATATCTTCGAAGCGTGAGCCTCAATGTCACACGTGGTCCTCACAAAAGGCTTTGATGTCATGTTCTTTAAGTCATTTTATCTCATCTTAAGAAGTTTTTAATCATGCACTTTTATAGTAGTTTCCAACAATGTGCGCAAGCTTGTATTGGAAGTCACATACATTTTGAAGTGCTTATTCATTTCTTCGCTTCTCTGAGTCGATGACATACCTGCTATGAATGCATCTGTAATGTATGCATCAATCCATTGCTTTCGACATCTGAACAATCTATTGAGTCATTCATTCTGTTGAAGATCAAATTTCTCAATAAGAGATTTCCCTTCTGACTCAAATTCTTCCTCAGCTTGGCTCATTATACAGTTTTTGAATATTTCAGGGAAAGATGGACTCCTTCTCAAGACATGACATAATTTTTCTTTGACCTTTGAAAGTATGTGCCACTTACAATAATGATGTCTGCTTTTATTCAATACTTGTCTCACTGCACGGTCATTGCAAGATCCTGATCGGTGATAATTACTCCAGGTTGACTTCCACCCATTACCTCTAGCCAATTTTCATCCTATACAAAAGACTCCACTTTCTCATCAAAGATAAGGGCAAACCCAAAAAATGTTGTGCTAAGGTGGTGATTCACTCCAAGTATGGGAGCAAAGGGCATGCCAAAAGCATTTGTCTTATATGTGGTATCAAAGGTGACCACATCCGAGAAGTGATGGTAGAACACCCTAGACATGGCATCTACCCATAGTAGGTTGACAATGTGATCTTTTTCATCTAATTTTACTTCATAGAAAAAAGATGGATTGAATCTCTTCATATCGATTAACCATTCCATCGCACGATTGCCATCTTCCCCTTTAAATTTTCTTCTCTTGATTCCTAATTGGTTTTCGATGTCTTTTTGTGAGCAAGGGAGATTATTAATCCCTCTAGCCTGCTCTAAAAAGATATCATAGATATTCCGAGATTTTACCAAAGCAGAGCTCATGGAGTTTATCATTGTCTTTGTCACATCCGATATTGTTCAGTGTGATCGAATGAGTCAAGCTTTATATGGAGATACAAGTAAGTGATTATGATCCTTAACAAACTTTGTGACAACCCACTCATTGTTGGTATTTATGCACATCTTCGCATCACATCCACACCTTGTCTCATGGAAAATTTTTCTAGGTTGCACTTCTTTCACCCAACGGAATCCTTCTTTAGAACATTTATATTCCCTATCAATTCTCTTTCCGTCCTTATTCGTGTGAGTACTTCCCTTTCTGACACCAAACCTTTCCCCCAATGCAAAAGCCTTGTAAAATTCATATGCATCATTTTCATCACTGAGTTTCATTCCTACACGAGGTTCCTTTCTTTCAGACCCCTTGGACGACAACGCATGGTCTCTGTTTTCAAGATTTGTGAACTTATTGGGGAGAGGGGTTGCTAGCAAGGGATCTTGCTCCATGGACTCTACAGTATCCCCCATGTTGTCATTCTCTGACAATGTGGGGGATGCCACACTTGTTGAAATGGTGAGGTCCATCTCAGGTGCTAAACTTACCCTACACAAATCATGAAATCTTTGTCGATTAATGACTTCAACACTTCACATATTTTTTTAAAAATGATTTTACAATTTCCATTTCTATTCTCTTGCAAGCTCAATTCCATCCTGTTTGAATCATTCACAAACCAAAAATGCTTGATGAATGAAAGTAAACAAACCTAATGAAAAAAAATCAATCACTTAACAATGCAACATCTATGGATGCCACTCGACAATTTTTTTTATAAAAAATCTCCAAATTAAGACTTCACAGAGCAACATCAATTCCACCCAGTTTGAACCATTAACAAACCAAAATGCTTGATGATTGAAAGTACACAAACCTAATGAAAAAAAATTAATCACTTAACAGAGCAACATCAATGGATGCCATTCGACAATTTCGGTAAACAATTTCTCAAAATTAGGACTTCACAGAGCAACATGAATTCCACCCTGTTTGAACCAATAACAAACCAACATGCTTGATGATTGAAAGTAAACAAACCTAATGGAAAAAAATCAATCACTTAATAGAGCAACATCAATGGATGCCTCTCAACAATTTTAAAACAAAAAACCTCCAAATTAAGACTTCACAGAGCAACATCAATTCCACCATGTTTGAACCAGTAATAAACCAAAATGCTTGATGATTGAAAGTAAATAAACCTAATGAAAAAAAATCAATCACTTAACATAGCAATATTAATGGATGCGATTCGACAATTTCGGTAAAATATTTCTCAAAATTATGACTTCACAGAGCAACATGAATTCCACCCTGTTTGAACCATTAACAAACCAAAATGCTTGATGATTGAAAGTAAACAAACCTAATGAAGAAAATCAATCACTTAACAGAGCAACATCAATGGATGCCACTCGACAATTTTAAACCAAAAATCTCCAAATTAGGACTTCACAGAGCAACATCAATTCCACCTTGTTTGAACCATTAACAAACCAAAATGCTTGATGATTGCAAGTAAACAAACCTAATGAAAAAAAATCAATCACTTAAGAGAGCAACATCAATGGGTGCCATTCGACAATTTTAAAACAAAAAATCTCAAAATTAGGACTTCACATAGCAACATGAATTCCACCCTGTTTGAACCAGTAACAAAGCAAAATACTTGATGATTGAAAGTAAACAAACCTAATGAAAAAAAATCAATCACTTAACAGAGCAACATCAATGGATGCCACTCGACAATTTTAAAACAAAAATTCTCCAAATTAGGACTTCACAGAGCAACATCAATTTCACCCTGTTTGAACCAGTAAC